CACACACTATTCAAACAGACAAGACACACAAATTATTCAAAGACAAGGCCACACTCACACATCAGATGCTCCAGAGACCCTGATCCTGAAACAGTCTTCCCCTGAACCAAGTTAGGCCTTCCTTTCCCAAGGAACAATACGAGGCAGGGTTCCCTCACAAGATGGTCAACTAAGCCTGCCCTTCTCTCATGGAGGAGCAGTACTATTGTGGCTAAGAGCAAGCTTCTTCTCCCCTCAATCTCAGCCCTATGATGCCCAGGAAAAGGGTAGGGGGCTTACCAAAACCAGCTCCTGAAATTGTCCTTTTGCCTTTCATCTTATTTTGAAATGTATTGGTGGTGCCACCTACGGACAGAGGCAGTGGGCAGTCTGCCAGGGAAAAGAAAATCCCAGTAGATGCTTATAACAGACCACTCATGCCTCAGTTGGGGACGGGCCTACCACATCTCAAGGGGGCAAAGCCCACCCAGCGATGCCAGAAATCTGTTGTAGTAACAACAAAGTGCTTACCCCCTGTCACGTAAAGCCAAGGTTGAAGGGGGAAAGCAAAAGGTTTATTGAGTGTTGCTACCCAAAGAGACAGAGGGAATCACTTCTCTAAAATGTCTGTCTCCTCAAGCAAAGGTATAAGTATGATTATACAGGGAAATGGGAAGGGGTCAAAGATCCTCTGAACTGCCAGGAATGTCTTTATTTGCCTTTTTCTGTGGTTACTTCCAACTCGGTGTTCCTCATCCCAGGGTCATCACACTTTATGTATGGACTATGGTCTCCAGCCAAAATCAGTCATAGGAGAGAAGGTGTAATGGAAAATAGCAACCCTAAGAATGTATAACAGAAAATAACACACCTAAAGAGCTCAGCGTCCAGGAAAACAAAAGGGAGGGAAAAATAGCAAGTTAGTCACTATATTAAGGTCTATTTCGATCGTGCCTGTTAGTCTGTTAAAGTTCTGCAATTTTCACTGAGAGTCCCCTTTGACCCTCCACACTGTGTTCCTCGGCCCCTAGGAAAGCTGTTAAGGGATTCATTGCAAGTACCTGAGCCTCCCTGTCTTTTTGTAGCTGCCCTCTTTACTAGAGGGTAATGTGGAGCATGGTGTTGTGTTTTTATTTTGCTTTGCTACTCCAGGAAATTGGAATAAAGCTAACAGCCAATGACCTAACTTCCATCCACTGTAGAACTTTCCTGGCCTCCAGGACACGGAGGAAATAACATTTACTAAGAAGCACCTCTGGTAGCGTAGTGCCTAAGGCACTTGACTGCTAAACAGAAGGCTGGCAGTTCAAACCCACCAGCCATTCCTTGGAAGGAAGATGGGGCAATCTACTTCCATAGTGATACTACCTCAGAAACCCAAGGAGGGGTCATTGTGCGTCGGGTCTGACTTGACGGCATGTAACAACAACAAGCATCTAAGAAGTTATGTAACATATCTACAATCACTACCCACTAAACCAAACCCACTGCTATCGAGTCAGTTCTGACTCATAGTGACCTCCATTGGGTTTCCAAGGCTGTAAATCTTTACGGTAGATTGCCTCCTCTTCCTCCTGTGGAGCACCTGGTAGTTTTCAACCATCGACCTAGTTTGCACCCAAATGCCTTACACACTATGCCACCAGAGCTCCTTTACAGTCACTAAGTGGGTGAGTAATAGAGCTAGGACTTAACACCAAACCTGAGTCTGAAGCAGTAACCCTGAAGCATGATTTCTTACTAGAAAATAGGCATGGGATCACAATGCTGTCATGTCCTAAGACTGAAAAGCACTGGCTGCTGGCTTTCTTCTTTGAAAGGGGAGAGGAAGGGTATGGCTTACCCCTTACTATGCATCTGGGTTCTCAATCTCTGAATAAATCTAAAGGGCTAGCCCTGGAATGCCATACATAGCTGCTGACTGGCCTTGTGGCCTTCCAAGGAGTTCTCAAGCCTTGAAGTTCATATCCATGCAATCTGAACCCCAGCCCCCTCACGCCCCACCCCCACAAAAAAAGCCTCTCAAAGTACTGTCATGAACTGGGTACACTAAAGCCAAGACTCTTCTAGAATCCACCAAAGCGCCAACAAAGGAAATTGAATAACAACATGCCTAGAATGAAGCTTGCAGGAGAACTAGGTGACCTGGCAACCCTCTCTGGCCTCCTGCTAGCAAGCAGCCCTGCTTCTCCTTGCATTTTAATGTAAAGGGAGCAAAAGAGTCTCTGCCATTGCCAAATAGAGCCTCTGGATACAATGGGAGGGTGGAGAAGGAGGGGGGTTGGCTCCTGGCATAGGAAAGCCTGTCTGCCTTCTCACTGTTCAAAATCCAGTGCACGGGGGAGGGGTAAACTGGCTTAACCACAAAGAAGACATCCTTTCCCACCAACACTATGTTAGCCCTCAAATTTTGAGCCACTGCATCAGCCAAAAAGTAGAGAAAGATCAATCAAGCCAGCCCCTGGCCTATCCCACCCAGAACTCTGTACTTTATAGCTAAGCTGACTGGACAACTTGCCAGCCAGCCCTCTTCTGTTGATGATGTAGTAATAGCATCTTTTGAATATGTTCAGGTCCACTTGTATCAACCTCCAAAACTCTGTGACCTTAACATATAAACTATTCAAATGATTCTTGAGAAGAGAATTTAGATACCTTGGGGACAAGGCAGCAGGAGTGATGAAAGTCTCAATGTGTCCTCAATGAGCATCTCCTGTTTGGGCTGATGAGGGAAGGGGAGGGCTGCTAGTGTCACCCAGGATCCACAAGACCCATGGGGACCCTAGGTCCAGAAATAAGGCAAGCTGCTGCCCAGAGTTCAGGAAGTAGCTTGCAACTATATCTCATAAATGCACTTTGCAGGGGTGGAAATAGGAGCCCAAGAAGGAAAGGAGGCTGATGAATCAAGGCTATATACTCCCAGGGAGCTTGAGACTGGATGCTAGACTTACACACACACACTTTTTCCTGGGGTGAGGCAGCTGGGCCCCTTCTTACTGCCAAATTTCGAAGTTGTGTGTTCACACACACACACCCCAGCTTCCCGCCCTCAGCCCTCCCCTCCCTGAGCCAAGACAAAGCTGTCCAGTGACTGGGAGTGGAGCAGGAGGAGGGATGGAGGGATAGGGAAGTCTGCACAAAGGAATTCCTCATCTCAAGCCCCCTGACCGGCAGCGCCAACAAGTAAAAAAACAGACTGCTCTCCCTCCCCTTTCCTCCCTCCCATCTTCCCACCCAACTGGGCACTGGCCATAGAGCAGCTGCAGACCTTCAGAGGATCCACACAGCCTCCTATAGGTGGCAACAGTGCCACCTGTTTGACTGGTGGGGCTGAGTCAAGGACTGGAAGAGGGAGGAGGCAGACAACTCGGAGAGGACCTGGGAAGCAGTGCAGTGCAGAGCAGAGAGCAGAGCAGAGCTGCCGCTGAAAAAAAGGTGTGAGGGGTTGGGCAGGCTGGGAGTTACAGTTGGGATGGGCAGGGTGGAGGCTCCAACCAGCAGAGATTGTGCCCAGGATGCAAGCACCTCTTCTCAGCTCCCTGATCCCATCCTACAGATAGCTCCTGGAGGTAGGTGACTCTGGAAGGCAGTGTCTGGAGTACAGGGAGGCAGGAGATGCAGACTGGAGCCCAGGGCAGGGCTACAGCAACCCAGTCCTGGGAAGAGAAGAGTCCGGGATCTCCCTTTGGGATGGCTTTTTCCTGGGAAGGGTCGCTGGGAGGGAAGTGGTTTCCTTCTCTCACCTCTCCCTCCATCTCTAATCACCCAACTCCTCCACCCCCTACTCTAACCCTCCTTTTCCAAGGTGAGCATAGGATCAGGAGAGAAGTTTCAGGAGCAATTTTCTGCCTGCCATACACTTCCTCTCAGGGGTCCAGCTCCACAGGGTAGCCCAGAAGATAAGGGGTTGTGTCCCTTAGGACCATTCTGTGTGTGTGTGTGTGTGTATGTGTGTGTGTCCAGGGTTCCTTTGCATACTCACAGTCACCTAGAAACCCATTTATACTGACAGCCCCTTGTGCACACACACATGCATATGCTGACACAAATTGCACACCCTTTCATGTAGAATCACAATCACATAGGCCAGTTTGGGGATCAGTAAATCTGCTCTGTCTCAATCAGACCCAGAAGCACAGGGTACAGGGATCCCCTGCTCCAAGACAACCACACCTCCCCCATCACACACACCTTGCCCTGCATTTTTTGTACTTTCACCGAAGCTAACTCAGAGGGTGGGGCCCGAGAAAGGGGGAAGGCTGGACAAGGTTCCTAGTTGAAGTGAGTTGATGATTGGGCAGGAAGGGACAGGACTGGGGCTGAGGACTTGGATTTCCAGAGGTCCATTAGTAGGAAATGGGTTCTTTCAGAAGGCTGGGAGTGACCCAGAAAACCTGTTCCCCTCAAGTCTTCCATCTTATTGGCAGTGCCCCCTTGCCCCCTGGGAGGTGGAGAGAGAAATTTTTTTCAGTCTGGGTTTTGTGATGTGTGCAATCTCTGTATCCATAGCAACTGGCCAACTAGCTGGGCCTCCCTTAGCCCCAGGTCAAAACTGGAGCCTCTGCTTCAGGTTACTCTTAGTTCCTAGGGTGAAAGGCTCCTCATCATGGAGCTGCCTCAAGCTTGACTGGATATGCCTCAACTTGCTGAGCTGAGTTTGCTCCACCCAGGGCAGTTTCTCCTGAGTTCCCACCCTGGGCAAGCACTCCTCCCTAGAGCTTAGTGCTGTTAAATAGGGAGGAGTTGGAGAGAGGGCCTCCTGGTGTCCCACTGACTTTCCAGGTATCAAAATTAAAAGGAAAGAAAACACTGGAGATTGTCCCCCTGTGCCAGCCCAGGAGCTGAGGCTGTTCATCTCCTTATGTAATCAGGCACTCTGGCCCTGCCCTTTGACCTCTGTTGCTGAATGGTGGCCCATGCCTCTGCTCCTTCCTCAGGCTCCTTAGATACGTTGGGAGGGAGGCTGAGATCTGCCTAGGTCCCTGATGGCCTAGTGTCCCTTCCTCCAGGCCCTCACCATCATGGCCAAGTCCCCTGGCTGCTGCTTCGTCTGGGCCCGGTGCCTTCACTGCCTGTATAGCTGCCACTGGAGGAAATCCCCCAAAGAGAAGATGCAAACCAGCAAGGTGGAGTAGGGGTGGAAGGGGAAGGCTGGAAGTCAGAAGGCAGAGGCCAATTAGAGGGGATAAGGAGGACAGAGGCAGCTGAGGGGAAGGGGCTTTCTTTCCCCAGGAAGAAAATCACCCTCAAATATGGAAAAAGCTGCCCCTAGACCAGAGCAGCCCAATGCAAGACAGAGAACCCCCTTAAGCAGCTGTGCATAGTGGATTCTGGGCTTGAAAAGGGGGATTGGCTTTGAGCTTCTCTCCTGCCCCTTTGCAGTGCGACTGCATCTGGTTTGGCCTGCTCTTCCTCACCTTCCTCCTCTCCCTGGGCTGGCTGTACATCGGGCTCATACTTCTCAATGACCTGCACAACTTCAATGAGTGTGTCATGGACTCCCCCACATCCTCAGGATAAATGTTACCCTATGGTCCACCCTGGGACCCCTGGGTGCTATCATCAGTTATCCCTCAGTCCTGCGCAGCCCCCTAAGGCCCAGTTCTCCTGCTACCCAACTTCCCTAAAAAATCCTCCACAAAGTCTCCTCCAACCTTGGAGCCCTTGGCCCCATGAAAGACTTTCCCATCACTCCCTTTTAGTCCTTCCAGATGCACCCACCAATGTCCCTCAGGCCACTATTGACAGCCTGTCCCCCACTTGGACACCTCCTTCTTCCCCTCTCACAGATTCCTATTCCACCACTGGGGACACTGGATGGACTGGTCCGTGGCATTACTGCTGGTCATCTCTCTTCTTGTCACATATGCATCCCTGCTATTGGTGGGTCTGGGGGCAACTGGCCTAAACCCCTAGCTCAGCCTTTGCTTTCTGCTCAGCTCTACCCTCTTGTTCTAACCCTAGCCAATGATGGGGAGGGAGCTAATTTTTGGGTGGGAGGGAGATGTCAGTCTTGGAAGCCCATCTTAGTGACCTTGCCCTCCCTTGGCTCCTTGTAACTCCAACCATCCACGGCCTCCAGCTCCTGGCCCTGCTACTGCAACTCTGTGGACAGCCTCTGCATCTGCACAGTCTCCACAAGGTATAATGAGGGAGGGGGACAGGGAGAGAGGGAGCCACTGAGGCAGTTAATTGTCAAGGACTTCACTATAATATCTTCAGGGTCTAGCCTAAGACCTAAAATTCAGTAAATATTTATTGAGTAAAAGAAGGACAGTGGATGAGTCAGAGGAAGAGAAGGGTCCTGTTTCCTTAGAGTTAGGGGGCAGTCCAGGTAGCTATGAGCCAAGGTTGACAGAGAAGGCTCCAGTCATCTCTGGTCTCCCAGGTGTTGCTGCTCCTCATTATCCTTCTTGTAGCTGCTAGCCTTGTGGGACTGGACATCCAGTGGCAGCAGGAGTGGCGTAGCTTACGTCTGTCACTGCAGGTTAGTAGCCGATCTTTAATGCCCAGGTGGGAGCCTTTGCCTGCAGCCAACCTCAACATGTCTTGCTCCCTGGTCCCCCAATACTGCAAGAATCTCTGAAATCCAAACTGGAGGAGAAATAGAGGGCACCAGGAAGAAGACCCCTTCTCATCAACTCTTGTCCACAGGCCACAGCCCCATTCCTTCATATCGGAGCAGTGGCTGGAATCACCCTCTTGGCCTGGTCTGTGGCTGATACCTTCTACCGTATCCATGGAAGAGGTGCCAATTCCACTTCTCCACAAGTCCTCACTAGCTGCTGATGCTTCTGCTTCCTGTCACCACGTTTGCTGCCCCTGTACTCTTTCTGCCCCTAGAGCTTACTCACTGCCCTTTCTCCATAGCCTGTCCCCCACTCCCCACAGGTCTGAAGATTCTGCTACTACTCCTATTTTTTGGAGTTGCCCTGGCCATCTACCTGGCCCCCCTATGCATCTCCTCACCATGCATCATGGAACCCAGAGATTTACCCCCCAAGCCTGGGCTAGTGGGACACCGAGGGGCCCCCATGGTGAGTGTTGGGCAGAATGCTGGGAGGTGGTGAGGATCTGCTCTTCCAGGATGCAGCAGCCAGGCCTGTGGGTTCCCAGACTCCCACCCTTTCCTGCAACCTCCTCATGGTTCACTTTCCCAGCTGGCCCCTGAGAACACCCTAATGTCCTTGCGGAAGACAGCTGAATGTGGAGCTGCTGTGTTTGAGACAGATGTGATGGTCAGGTGAGGGAAGCTGGAAATTGGGGGATCTGGGGGGCTGAAGGACACAGTGGAAGAACTCAGGAAGTGACTATCAGCCCTAGAGGTTACCCCTCTGACACCCCTTGTACCCTCAGCTCTGACGGGGTCCCCTTTCTCATGCATGATGAGCACCTGGGCAGGACTACGGATGTTGCCTCTGTGTTCCCAGGCCGAATCACAGCCCACAGTAGCGACTTCTCCTGGGCTGAACTGAAGAGACTCAATGCTGGGACCTGGTTCCTAGAGGTGAGGGCAGCCTCTGGGGAGAGGCAGCCACCTGGAGGGGCAGAGTTCATTCCACTGATAAGCATTTGCTAAGTCCTGTGCTGTGCAGTATGAATGCAGTTTCTGCCCCCAAGTCTCTCCCATCTAATAAAGAAAAGAGCCTAGGCAACAGGCTATTAGAACATGAAACCTAGAGCAATGAAGATACCAGGTAGAGTACAAAGAGAGAAGTCGCTGTTTGTTGGGGTGGGTGTGCAAGGGGATCAGGAGTGGTTTCACAAAGGAGAAGATGACTATCAAATGATAGTTTTTTTTGTTTGTTTTTAAGATGAGCTAGGCTGGGAAAGGGAATTTTAGTCAGAAGGAAGAGCATGTGTTAAGCCCTGAAGTATAAAAAAGTGTGTTGTCAGGAGAAAAAAGTGGCTCAGTATAACTGGAAGATAAAAGTCACTGGAGTGGTGGGTGATGAATTGGCAAGCTCTGAGGGCATGGTGGACAGAGAACTGGTCTTGAAGGGCTTTGAATGCCAGACCCAGTAGTGTGAATATTAATACTGTAGGTGATGAAAAATATTTAAAAGGATACTTTATTTTTTCAGTTTCTCTTTTTTTTTATTACAAAAGTAATTTCTTTTCATTGTTAAAAAAACACAAAGCATTAGAGAAATAATGTAGAAATTGGAAAGTTCCCCATAATCCAGCTCCCGTGAAGTATTCACTGTTAACAATTGGGTATATATATTTGGTACAAGTAGGATCACTATACTGTATATACTCTTTTGCAACTTGCTTTTATTTTCCCATTTACCTCTCTGTATTTATGGTACATCAGAGTGATTAAGAGCAAGGGCTACCTGGGTCTGAATCCTGGCTCCACCACTTACTAGCTATGTGCCCCGAGCAACATTCCTTAGTTTCTCTATATGTCTCAATTTCCTTGTCTATGAAATGAGAATAATAAAAGTACCTACCTTTTAGGGTCATTGGGAGTATTAAATAAATTAACACACATAAAGTATTTCCTAATAAATATTAGATAGTTGGCTTTTTCCATGTCAGTAATTAGGAGATAACAGGGGGAGCAGGGGAGAATGGTAGCAGCCTGACAGCCACTGGGGAAATGAGAGAGGGAGCAAATCAAGAATAAGTGAAAGGATTGATGGCTAAGCAGAATTGAGAAGAAAAAAATAGAACTGCAGTGGCAACAGTCCTCAAGGTGTGCTCTGCCCATGGGAGTGCCCAGACTCCCCAATTATAGGTGTAGAGAGAGTAGATTATAGAACTGAATCAGAGTTTGGGATTTGGAGGGCAGGTGGAGCAGTCAGAGAGTTGAGGGTGCTATGGAAAACTAGTTCAAGATGTGGATGGACCATGGGTTGGAGATGCAGGTATGGCCACAAAAGGGCTAATCGATTTGGAGGAAACCAAGGGGTCAAGATCTCAGAAGTCTCCATGAGACCAAAAAGAAGGCATAGAGAAAGAAATTTAGAAAACTGGCAGGGTAGGAGCATGAGGTCACAGAGTAAGATATTAGAGTGTCTGGGAGAAGGCCATTGTTTTGAGAAGAATGACTGGCTCAGAGGTGGACAAAGCTGAACACTAAGTGGGAAAAATGAATGATGGTGAGAGGGTTGGCCTGGAGGTCTCCTCTGGTATTGAAATAATTGCCTCCTTTTCTCTCTCTCTCTCTCTTTCTCTCTCTCTCTCCCTCTTTTTCTCTCTCCTTCTCTTTCTCTCTTAAAACAATTTTCCTATCTTTAGAGGCAACCTTTCTGGGGGGCCAAGAGACTGTCAGGCTCTGATTGGAAAGAGGCTGAGAACCAGACAGTACCAGCATTAGAAGAGTTATTGAAGGAAGCTGCAGTCTTCAACCTCTCCATCATGTTTGACTTGCGCCGCCCCCCACAAAACCACACATACCACAACACTTTTGTGAAGCAGACATTGGAGACTGTGCTGAATGCAAGGGTGCCCCAGGCCATGGTGATGTTGCCAGGACCTCTAGGGCCCCTTTCACTGCTCTCCTCACCTTGCCTTCCCTAGGCTCTGGTGATGATTTTGAGACTGTCCCCTGCCCCAGGGCCCTGCTCCAGCTCATATACCCCATTTTACGGTGAAATCTCTCTGCCCTTGCCCCATCCCATGGAACTCCTGTGTCTCCTCCAGCTTTATGCCCATCCTTCCTGAACTACAGGTCCTTTGGCTACCAGATGAAGATCGGGCTAATGTCCGACAACGGGCTCCCAGAATGCGCCAGATATATGGAAAGCAGGGAGGCAACATAACTGAGAGGCTGCAGTTTCTCAACCTCCCATATCAAGACCTGCCACTGTTGGATATCAAGTGAGTGCCAGAGGTTAAGAACTGCTAGGATCCCATGAGGCTTAATGGTGGGGAAAGACTAATGCAGGGAGTGTAAAGGCTATTCATTCATTCACTCTTGCAACAAATATTTTTGAATACTTGCTATATGTCAGGCACTATTTATTATAGACTTTGGGGATACAACATGAATAAGATGGACAAGCTCCTTGCTGTTATGGAATTTATGTACTAGCAAAAGAGGGGGCGCTGTGGTAGTGTAGTGCCTAGGGCA